ACCCACTGATGTCTTTGTGGGGCAGGCCATCTGGTATTCGATTCTACCTGGGCCTGGATTCACTTTTGTCACATCCTGTTCCAAACCTCCATTTCTTGTTCATAAAAGAGGGCCCACTGCTTTGCAGCTCCAAGATCAGAAAGCCCCTCAAGACTCAGTCTGTTCCTGAACCCCTGCTCCAGGCTCAACAAGCAGCCAGCCCTCCAACCCTGCCATCGGAAACAGCTCCTGCCCTGGCCCCGCCTTGCCCCCCCGCAGATCTGCGCTCAGACCGTGGGTGAGCCAGGCCACCAGGGCTGCGCAGGCCTCCCCGCAGGGAGCAGGGTCTGCCCGTGTGCAGTGACCTGAGCAGGAGACCTTCCCATCGCCTCTTCATTCACATTCCTTGGTCACTGCTTCCTGGAGGCCCACCCAGGCGCAGGAGCGCTTGCTCCTCCCATAACCTCTCCCCTTCCCTGGTGCTGGCACCCACTCTTACGCAGCCCTGGGGACAGCAGGCCATGGCGGTGACACCTGCGTTCCTGTGGTCCTCAGCATTTCAAAGGGACTGCAGATCTGCCATCTTCACAAGGGCCCTGCCAGAGGAGAGAGTTATTAGTTCTCTCCCTGAAAAGATTGATTCCTGGAAGCTGGGGAAGTGGGTGGTATGAGCTTCAAGCTTCTCCAGGTTCCAGGTCAAGGCCAGTGCCTGGCAGCAGAAGGGCAGCATGTGGCCCCAGAGGCTGCAGAAAAAAAACTGTCGGTTCATCCACGCAGGCCTAGCAGAAAGGGGGTGGTTCCGATAAGGGGGTCCCCAAAGAGGGGGAGGGACGGGCAGGGGACCTGGGCTTTCTGACCCGCAGAGCACAGGTCTCTGGGTCTGGGAGGAGCCCATACACAGGCAGGCTTGGCGATCTGTCACCTCCACCGCCATGTCTGAGGCCTCCCGAGCTGGGCCTGTGGCTTCCCTTCCCCAAGGCGGAGCTTCAGTCCCAGTGGCTGAGGGTGAGTCTCTCTGAGCCTTGCCTCGGGAAGCCCCTTTCAGCAGATGGTCCTGCAGGGCTACTTGCAATGTGGCCGGCTGCCCTGGCCCTTGGTCACACTGGAAGTGCAGTGCCCCGCCCTTGTGGGGTCATGCTGTTGACCAGGTGTGTGGCCTTGGACAAGTAAGTCGCTTCTGCTCTCTCTGGGCTGCTACCTGTGTACAGTGGGGAACTGCCCCAGCTCAGACACGGGTGGACGATACACAGGATGGCCGCCGACTGTCTCTAGGAAGAGCGTGTGGCTGGAGGGCGGGGAGCTGCACTGCTGCTCAATTTCTAGGGTTTATTAAACGTGTGTCCGTTTGGGGGAGGGGCTGATGGAAATGGTGGGGTTGAGGGTCCCCACTCCCCAAGCCAGTCCTTGTAACTCCCCACCCTCCCACTCCCCCGCCCACCCCAGCCCACCAGGGGCGTGTCCTTCGAAAAGTCCAAAGTTCCAAATGGGTGGACATATGGTGATTTCATCATCCCTGCTCTTCTTCCAAAAACCTTCCCTGTGCTGCTCCAACACACCGCGGGGGCTCCCACGCTCCACAGAGGCTGCAGCCCATGTGGTTTTATAATTAGCAATCCCTCTGGGTGCACAGGAAGCCAAGCCTGAGCCCCTTCGGCCACCACCCCTCTGGCCCATGGGCGCCACCGAGTCTGTGAGCTGCTTTAGGGAAGGGTGGATCCTACCTGCTTTGTTCTAGGAGTTGGGTGGGGTGCTGGGCTCCCGGCACCAACCCTTACCCGCACCCTGACCAACCGCCCAGGGTGCTCAGCAAAGACAACCACTCGCGTCCGTCCGGCACCAGGGGCTCTGCCTCCGAGCAGCAGGGGCTCCTGTCTGCTTTTGGCAAACGAGGAAACAGACTCAGGCGGGGAGAAGACAGCAGTCCCGGTGAGCGGCAGAGCTGGGATTCGAATCCCTGCCTGTCTGCCTGAGGCCTGCCCCCTGTGTCTTGACTGGAGAGGGGCAGAACTGGTGGCTGGGTGTCCTAACCGTCACAGCCTGCTGGCCTTGGGCAAGTTCTGTGACCACCTCATTTGAAACAAGAACAGGACAGGAAGATTCGTGGTAACATTTTTACGTACTAGAGAGCAGAAATGTGGTAAGATCTCACATGGAACCTCTGTGGTAAAACAAAGCTGCTAGGTGGGGGTCCGGAGCAGTGGGTGGGCTCCCTTGCTTCCTGGGTCCTGGGCTCTGAGATGCCATGTGGGCTGATGGCCCAAAGGCCTCGTACTGCAGGAGCTCTGGGTGTGGGTGGAATCAGTCTGTGTCCCGCCTGCCTCAAGGGCGGCCTTTAAGCCCCCTGGGCCTGGCCAGCTGGGGGCAGGGGAGGAGGTGAGGAGAGGATGCCACCCCTCCCAGGACGGCCACACCTCTCACCACACACACTGGCTCTCCTGAGCTCCCACCACAGGGGAGAAGACTCCCTGCCTATAAAACTCAAATGAGGGGCCTGAGCTCCAGGCCAGCAGGGGTACAGCCACCTGCCCTCGACCCCTCCCTCAAGTCTCAGGTCAGCTGCCACTTCCTAAGGCAGCCACTCCACCCTGCAGCAGCTGGGGCGGGGGAGCGGGGGGCTTGTGCTGAGAGGGTGGGAAGTCCAGGAGGGTCCTGAGGTGGTGGGCTCCCCTAAGGGGCCCAGACAACTCCTAAAGTCTATGTTTTCGTTGTGTTGTCAGCTTGAATAAGCATGCTGCACCTCTTGGGTGACCCCAGGGACTGAGCGGCTGTGCTAAGCCTTCGGGGCCCCAGGATGCAGTGGGAGCATTTAATCTATTTAACTTTCCATGCGGGTTTCTCAGATCTGAGTCCATGGCTACAGAATTGAGCTCTAGGCTTCGTTTCTTTGAATTAGAGGCTCATGGGGCTCCCACCAAGAGTCAGGCAGGCGGGGTTTGCCTCCCACCCTGCACACCGGCTCTGCGAGCCTGCGCGTCTCAGGGCTGGCTGTGCTGTGGGGGAGAGCACCCACCTCTCGGGCATGATGGCCAAGGTAAACCCAGTACAAGGCAAAGCGGCCGAGTGGTGCCAGGGCTGCCAAACAGACACTGGCCATCAGGCCAGACACCCACAACGAGGGCTGGCAAACACGACCTGGCCCCCAGAACTGCGGGCACCTGTTCACATGCTCTCTTTTGCTACAAGCATGCCTGGAGCGTGCCCCACCCGGATTACACAAGCCTGAACCCTTCCATGGTGCAACAGCTCCCAATTTGTCTCCCCTCCCTCTGCTGGTACACAGCTCCCTCCCCTCTATCTGTGATGTGACCGCCCCACCCTTAGTAATTGTTATTTTTGTCACTGGTCTGAGCACCAGCTTCGCTGTATCTAAACTCCCTGGGGCCAGGACGAAGTCCAGCCAACCCTTTCCTACTTGGCCCTTCCCAGAGCCCAGAGCTCCATGGGCGCCCACCAGTCTGTCCGAGGCGAGGGCAGGCCCAGGCCGGGGGAGATGCTGAGTCACACAAGGCAGATATCTTCTCCCCAACCCCAGGGCAGGTAGCCGGGTTCTGTCATCGGGGTTCCCGCAACTTCCCTACACCATCCTCTCCTCAAATATAACTACTGCTCACCCCCACCAGGCATGAGGAAAGGGGCTCATCAGCCCTGCATGCAGGCATCGACGAAGAGGAGGCAGTAGCTGCCAGGGCGGAGTGTGACTGGGCACAGACCCCACCCGGGCACGCTTGCCAGCATGTCCCTGGTGGCACCTGGGCCCCCCAACACTCTGCCAGTGCCCCCGCAGACCCTGTGGGGAGCAGGCCCGAGACGATGCAGCACGAGGAGCCAGCTTCAGCGCAGTTCAATTATTTTTTAATGGGAGAAGAAGTCGTCTTGGTTGCTTTTCTTCCCACAGGCGAACGTGGATGAGCCACTGCACCTGAAACGGTGAACACCTGACACTGCATGGGGTGGGGGGCCAAGGCGGGCTGGATGTAACTGGCCAGTTTCTGGCCATGCGGACCTGGCAGGCGGGAGCCTGGAGAGCAGCACTGGGAGGGGGGCGGGGGCTGGAGAGGTCAGTGGAGGAGTCCCTGAGGCCCCCATGGAGTGGCTGTGGGCCCACGCCCCCGCCCAGCAGCTCTGCGGCATCAGTGCCAGGCCCCCAAAGCTGGGCTCAGGCGCCTGGCTGGGTGAGGCAAAACAGTGAGGCAGCCTGAACCCGCCGCTCACTTGTTCCTGGTTGTTGCTCGCCTGGGGAAGGTGGTCTAAGGATGTCCAAGTCACCTGACACCCTCCTTCACTCATTGGAAGGGAGCAGTTTGTCCCTGGTCTCTGGCCACCAGGCCGGGGCTGTAGCACCAAGCCATGCCAGGTCCATGAGGACCCAGCACCCACCCCGAGGTGGAGCAGGGAGGTGCCCAAGAATGTCCCAGGAAACCGAGGGTGCAGCAGATAACTTCATCTCTGGGATCCCCTGTCAGGGGAGCTCTGCGTGCACCCACATCTAATGGCTCCTGGGTGGAGCTGTCCCCCGAGTTGGAGTATGAGAAAGGAGACAAAAATCACAGCTTCTGAACCAGTGGCTGGGAAGTTACTGGAAAATTTGGTCAAGTATAAAAGGTGTTACTTTTATGGAACCAAAACTAGCTCATATAGTTTTCTGAAAAATGTTTCTCTCATACCCACCCATCCCCCTGGCCCCTCAAAAGGCAGCCGGGCCTCTGCCTGCCAAGCGAGGGGTGGGAGGCTGTGAGGAAAGGGCAGGCCCTGTGCCCAGAGGGCTGAGGGTGAAGGAAGGCACGAGAACCACCTGAGTCCGGGAGCACAGGGAGGAAGCCACAGGCGGAAGAAACAAGGAATAAACATCTCGTCATTCCCATCTGCGCACGGCCCCAGGGCCTGGCGGCTGCCAGGATGAGCGAGCTGGGACGGCCATGGCGGCAGTGAGTGCTGCGCAGCCAGAGCAGAGGCAAGGACCGGCGGGCAGAGCCATGTGCGCGAAGGCATGGGGCCGTCAGACGGAGGAGGCGGCAAGAAAGAAGGCTGCCTCTAATGTTATATATTAAAAATATCCATAGTTCTTGTGCATAAAATTCCATCATTCACATACGAGTATCACCCCTGCCTCCCTCGCTGGGCCCAGGAACAGCCTTAAAAGAATGATGGTGGTTTTCCTTTTCAAGAGCCGAGGAAACAGCCACTCAGTCTTTATGGACCTTGAGAACTGGTGACCCTCCCCCTCCCCCCAGTCTCTGCCTGGCTGGGTGCTGGGATGGCCGGGCGCACAGGGATGGGAGGTCACTCCAGCCTCCGCTTGGAGGGTGGGATCAGGTGCGGGGGCAGATCGGTGGGCAGCTCATGGCCCTCCAGCTTGACCTTGATGAGGTGGTTGGCCAGGGCAAACTCCTCATCGTCCAGCAGCCCATCCTTGTCCACATCAGCCAGCTTCCAGATCTTCCCCAGCACCGTGTTGGGCAGCTTGGACTTCACCATCTCCTTCTTGGCATTGGCGCCCGTGATCTTGCCATTGACAGGCGACAGCGTGTAGAAAATCTCATCATAGGTAGGTTTGTCTTTACCCACCACCCACTCGATGTCGTCTATGCCTTCGCCAGCCCCCTCACCATAGCCGTGCCCGAAGGGCCCATTCATGGTGCCGTCGAAGGCGCCGCCCTTCACGACCTGGGAGGGCATCAGGGACTCCTCCTGGCGCACCATCACCATCAGCCGGGCGATGTCGTTGGCCAGCATGTCGTCCACTGTGTCCAGCAGCTTGGGCTTCAAGGCCTGGAACTTGCTGAAGTCCTGGGTCTGCAGGAGCTCCTGTGGTGGGCGGGGAGGAAGGAGAGGGGTGGGCTGGGCCTCTCCCAGACTCCAGTGGGCAAAGCAAGGATTCCCAAGGGAAGGGGCGGGTTCCCCATCACAGCCCCAACCACTTACCAGCTCAGGCAACTTAAGTTAACCCCACTGGGCCCCAGCTGATGCGGCTCAGAGGGTTGAGCGCACCAGCCTATGAACTGAAACTGATTCCCAGTCAGGGCACGTGCCTGGGTTTCAGGCCAGGTCTCCAGTTGCGGGGGTGCGAGAGCATTTCTCTCCCACACTGATGTTTCTTGGGAGGTAAAAACAGTCCCTTCATCGCAGGGCTATGGTGAGAATTAACTGGGATGAGGCCAGAGTGTCTGGCACAGTCCCTTGTCCTGCTACCCCACTCCCCTCAGGACCTGGGTCAACTTCTCCCATCCAGATGGCAGGTTGGTGACTAACCCAGATGCCTCCATTTTGGGAGCCCCCACTCCACACAGACCCACAGCCCCACGCCTTCCTCACACCCCGCTGGCCACCGAACCTGCATCTTGCGAAGGCTCGGGAAGTCGCCAGGGGATATCTGATGCTCCCGCTCAATTTTCGCGTAGATCTCGCCCAGGTTGTTCACCAGCTCTTTCTTTTTGCTCTCCTTACCGAAGACGTTGGGCATCTCCTTCTTGAGGGAGCTGATGATGTAGGCATGGACCTGGAGAGACAGGGAAGGGACTTCCTGGTCACCTTGCCAAGAGTGTGGCCGGCACCTGGGCTGCTGCAGAGGGCTGGGGCCGGAACGCAGGAGGCCGAAGGCAGCCCCAAGCCCGTTCTGTCGGTCCATGCGGCAGAGGTGCGGACCCCCATCCTGCACATGCAAACCTGTGGACAGGACATCGAGGTCCTAACGCTCCAGTATGGCCTGAATCATGCTCCCTTTTGTCATTACGGAAGCCTCAGGGATGACTAAGGTTTAGAAAAATCCCAAAAGGCTTTTCCCAGATGTTTCACACTTTATCTTAGCTTCAATACCTTGCTTAGACATCTGCCAATTCAAGGTGGCACACCCTTCATTTCCCCACAGCGGGCAACGCTGGCAACCTCCAAGGGCACCAGCCCTTCAAATCCTCGGCTTTGCCAAGGATTGAGCTGTGGTCGGCTGCAGCCACTCAGCCTGTGCCCCCTGCCCCCGGACTCCACCCCATCGGACCCCCTCCAATGGTGTGACCCTGCCTGCCTTGGCCCAGGAGCCTGGTGGAGAACGGCCCGAGGGAGGCAGGCCAGTGGCAGTCACGGCCAGCCAGCCGGCACAGAGAGAACCACTTGCTCCAGGAAAAGGAACAGCAGCGGGGAGCAAGATTGGGGACCACGGGGTTTCCCAGGCACGGTGACTCAATGTGCCCTCAGGCCAGGCCATTACACCATTTCTCTAAATGAACAGGCAGACTGAAGTCTGCCCTGTGTTCTGTCCTGGGAGGCTGGGCAGGGGGACAGGGGTGCTGCCCTTCCCTGTGGCCTGAGCAGAGGCTGGATCGGTCCCTTCTCTGTTCATTGCCTGTCCTCCTTCAGCGTAGGATGTCCCTTGATCCTTTGAGGCCAGGAGCCAATTACTCAGGTTTTCTCATAGGTTCCATTCTTAGAACAAGCTGCTCTCTCCAGGAAGGTTTCCAAAGTCACTGATCTAGAAAAACGTGCGGCCCTGCAACTTCCCCACGCACACAGATCACCAGGTGATTACATTCACATGCCGACTCCGGTTCAGCAGGGCCGGGGGGTGCCTGAGAACCTACTCTCCAGCAAGCTCCAATGTGCTGGTCCATGAGCACTCTGGATGACCAGAGTGGAGGCGCAGCCCAGCAGGAAAGGATATGGGTCAGTTCTCATTACTCAGGCCAAATGCGACCTGACACCAGGCCTCAAGGCAGTGTGGGGTGCCCTGGGCCACTGGGCTCTAACCACAGAGGAGTCTCAAAATCTCAGGGCCACCCAGGGGTGGAGGCAGGAGCGTGGCCCATGGGCTCTTCTTGGCTCTCCCAGGACAGTCCTGCCACCCAAGTGGGAAGCCCCACCCCTCAGTCCTAGGATGCTCAGGAGCCCAGGGCGATGTCCCGCCAGCCGCAGGACTGCCTTCTCCACAGCCGAGACACCCCCAGAACGCCCTCCCACCCGCTGCATGCCAGCCCGCCCTCCACCGTGTCCTCAGAGCATCGGCGAGGCACGAGGGCCTCTGCTGGCTGCCACCCCCAACCCGCCAGGGCTGAGGGCCGGGCTCTGCGCCTCAAGAGTCGGTGCTCCTCAGGTGAGCGCTGCCCCAGCCTGAAGGCTTACCCAGGCAGGCTCAGGACTGACACTGCACAAGACCACTGTCCTCAGGGAACACACTCCCTTCCTTTGTGTTTGAAGGGTCCTGGTAGTACTTCCCAGCCCCAAGGTCTCATGTGCTTGGCCAGACACTGAGATTCCAAACTCTTGGGCAATTCAGATGCTGCCAGCAGGCCCTGAGATTCCAGGGAGGGAGAGGGACACTTCCACAAAGCCTCAGGGGCTGAAACCACCCAGCATTCTCTCGGCCCACAGTCTCAAAGCCCATCTCTCCGCCAGCTTCTTATCCTGGCTTAGGCATCAGCTCCCACTGGAGGCCCCCCGGCCTGGCCTACCCCACAGAGAGAGTTCCCCAGTTGTCTGCTTCTGCAGAAGCCTGGGGTCTCCCCAAGACAATACAAATGAATTGCTGTTTATGCTGGCTAACTAGCGCTAGAAGGGTGGGACCTGTTAGTCCCCACTGCGACCCCAGCACTCAGCACATGCTGAGTGTGCATCAGAGCTCAGGGGACCTGGGAGGGGCACTGGCTGGTGTGGCTCGGGTGGTCGGGTGCCATTCCGCAGAGTGAAAGGCTGCCAGTTTGAGTCCTGGTCAGGGCAACGCCTGGGCTGCGGTTTTGGTCCCTGGTTGTGGTGTGTACAAGAGGAAACTGATATTTTTCTCTCACATCAATGTTTCCCTCTCTTTCTCCCTCCCTTCCCCTCTAAATATAAATAAAATCTTTATTAAAAAAAAAGAGAGCGAGCGAGTGAGCGAGACCTGGGAGGGGAAGCCCATGAGGCCTGCACCTGCACCCCCGCCCACTTCCACTCCCCACGCTGTCCATTGGTACAGCAGTGCCTTCCAGTTGAGGTTTACATGCATTAAAAAGAATCTCACTTAAAAAAGGCTGTGCCCACAGGTGAGGGCTAGTTCAAACTCAGTGCAACGGGTTTGTGGCCGGGCCCACAGAGGTGAGACTTAGGCACCCCTACGGGCAGGGCATACCCATCCCCGGGCCGTGGTGGCAGTCCCAGTGCCCCCTGGGCCCCGCCCCGGGTCTACCTTGGCCAGCCTGGCCCTCTTGATCAGGTCGTTGAGCTTCCTGAGGGCAGCGTTCCGGGGCAGAGACTGGATGTCTTTGAAGAGGTCCTGCTCCTCGGCCTCGAAGAGCTTGCGGTTGTCGGGGATGAGCAGGGGATGGGACCAGAAGGAGCCGATGTAGACCCTGACCACCTCGGGGGTGTTGATGATCTTCCCCAGGGACCACATGAGGGCCCCATACACCCGCATCAGCTGCTGGGTCTCGATCTGGTCGGCCTTGTTCAGCACCACGCGGATCTTGTCCTCGTGGTTCTTGAGGGCTTTGATGACTTCTGAGAACTCGTCAGAGATGTCCAGCTTGTGGGCGTCAAAGAGCAGGATGATTCGGTCGACCCGCTCAGCGAACCACTCCAGGACAGCCGCGAAGTCGTACCCTGAGGGGGGAGAAGGGAGAGCTCAGGGACCTCAGGGGACAGGCGGCTCTGGCTTGGCCTGGTACTTCTCCACCTGGGATCATTGAGGTTTCCGGAATGTACTCACATGGACAGCACAGAGCCCCGAGGGCGGGGTCATCGGGTCCCCCCATTTCTGTGCCCACCATAGTAGTACCCTCACCCACGCAGCACCCGACACTAGGAGATGCTTAGAATACAAGTAATGCAAAGGAAGTTAGAAAACCCAAGCTCTAGAGGGGGTCAGACCATGGCAGGAGGAAGGAGACCCCAGCAGCAGCGGGGCTCTGCACCGTGTGGCGAGGCCAGACTCGGGTGTCGCCAGCTATCCCGGCTCCCTGCTCTGCAAGCACCTCCTATATTCTCTGGTGCTGGGGCTGGCAAACCACGGCTCGGCCGAGTCGGGCCTCCGTCCACCTCTCTGAATGAAGTCAGGCTGGAGCAGGGCTGCCCCCAGCTCTGCTGCCTGGGGCTGCTCTGTCTGTCAGGCAGAGTTCAGTTGTTGCAACAGAGACCATAATATTAGGTCTCTGGCCCCTGCAGAAAAGCAGCTGGTGACCTCTGCCCTAGGACGAGCCTGCGAAGCGCGAGACCACTTCCCACTCTAGGCCTCCCACGCCTCGAAGACAAGGGGCTGCGCAGACTCGAGTCTCTGCTGTAGCCAGTGCTGGTTCCCTTCCTCCAGCGGGGCGGTGCTGTGCATGGCACCTGGCGTTCACTGGCTTCTTCTTTTCAGGTCAAGGCTGTCTTGTTGCAGCTGGACTCATGGCCCCTTGGCCGTCTGGCAGCAGAAACGAACAGGGAGCGTGAGCCCTTTGTCCCTTTTCGTCTCCTGAGGACTGGAATGCACGTCCGCCAAAAGGGGCTGGGGCAGCCACCCTGGGTTCAGGGCCGAGAGCTGCACATCCCGGACGGCCTTGCCGGACGGTTAGTTTTCACATAAGCTCCCTGGTATCTGATTTAAGCCAGTGGATTTTGGGGTTTCTGGAATGACGGTTTAATTTGTATCCTATTTTATAATTACACCTCTTCAAAGTGTTTCCATTTCTTCCACTGCCCTTAGAAGAAAGTGAAAATTCTGTGTCTCACCTTTTAGGAATCCTCAGGAGAGGTAGGAACCCACATGGAAACAATGACCTAGGCTCCCTGGGAAGCCTGGGTGCAGCCCCTGCCTTTCTGGGTGATTCTGGGCCTCCTTGTCCCTGGGCTTGGTCTCCTTGTCCTTCACCTGCTACCCATGGGACACCCAAGTGCAGGCCGGCCCCCCTGGGGACCGCCAGTGCCCCCAGAGTGCAGCTGAGCTCCGGGGGACTGGCCGAGAAGCCACTCCTGCGGAGCCGAGCCAGGGACCCTGTCCAAAAACCAGCCAAGCAGATCCCTGTTCGCCTCCGGCCAGGCGGGGATCAGACCGCGCTTTCCAGACTGTGGGAACAGAAAGGCAAGCAGGTGGAGGAAGATGCCAAAGGCAAGGAAGGAGTGTCAAAGAAAGGCCCAGTGCGACCTGCAGGAAGCTGGGGAGCGAGGCCAAGCCCCAGGGCTGAATGCCGTCCGCCGCCGGCCTCTTGCGGACTGCCCCCTCCACGCGGGCCGGAGCCCGGGCCTCCCTGCCGGGGCAATGAACACGCGGGCTGCCAGGGCCTCCGGGTCTGGGTGCGTGTCAGCGTGGCCCGTGCGCCTGCAGCCGGGGTGTTCCCAGCCTCTCCTCGTGCCCGGGCCCTCAGAACGGACACAGGCTGTTAAAGAAGACGGCTCTGGATTCAACCCCCGGCTCCAGCCACTGACTTTGTGACTGTAAATTCTTGACTTCTTGAGTTACTCATTCCTCATCTGTAAAGTTTAAAAACCAATTCCTCCTTTTAAGATCATGGGAGGGTCACATGAGGCAAAGTGCTGGGCTCTCAGCATAGGCCTGGGCACTGGAATGACTTCCGTCAGTCGGACAGGCGAAGAGAGAGGTGACACAGCCCCCTGGAACAAGGGACAGGCAGCCTGGGACTACGTCACTGGTCAAGAACTGAGGATGACAAATGTTGGGTCTGGCTCTGAGGTCAGAGGTCAGCTTTCGTCCTTTGGGTAAGACACAGAAATTTAAGGAAGACCCCGAAACTTAGGGAAGACCCCAAAGCCACCTCTTCTGTCTGCCCGGTATGGTGGCTTCTCAGGGCAGTGGTGTGCAACCGTCGCCCACTGCAACGTGCCAGGACCTGGGATGCCCTGACCAGCAGCGCCACTCGGCCAGCAGGCAGCAAGGCCGCTGTGACTCTGAACTTCAGTCTGGACAGGGGAGCAACCAGCCTACAGAAACAGCAGGGCCACCAGACTCCCCGTGTGGCCGGGCATGGAGCAAGTATCAGACCACTCCCATGATAGCTGCCAGCAACGCAACCCTCACTGGCGGCAGGCTCCAAAGTACAAGGCCTGCGGCCCCAGGACACTGCGCAGCTGGGTCCCAGAGCCCCAGGGAGACGCCCAGAGCAAAGCCGGCAGCAGAAAAGGATCAAGGAGCAGGCTGAGCAAGCCGGGAGCTGCAGGCCGCCAGGCCGCCCGCCGCCACGGCCTTTTATGGCTGGCTCTGGGGACTGCGGGTCAGCGCTGAGAAAGTGATGACTCAGGACCGAACGGCGGCTCCCTCTCGGCAAAAAATGAGGCCCCAGTTCTCCCCTCATCAAACTGCTTGTCCTTGGACTGACACAAGTTCAAGTGACCAGAGTCCCACAGCTGGGGCGGCAGAGATGCCAAATCGAAGGCACTGGGAACAGGGGCACCCTGGCGGGCTGGGCTGGAGCCCAAGTTATCTTTGGCCCAGAAGTGAGGACAGCGGCAGGGAGCTGAGGTCACCCCCGCACTCCACCCAAACACAGCCTCCCTCCCCCGCCCCCAGTGGTGGGGGTCCAGGCTGCGGTGGGGAAAGAGGAAGGGGAGGAGATGGAGTGAGGCACCAGCATCGCTGCCCGGCTGCCTGCGAACCTCTAGCCCCCGCCAGAGCCAAGCTCCTGCTGTCCGCCCGGACACCCAGTAATACTCGCCAGCACCTCGGCTTGGAGCCCACAGAGCTAAGGCCATTTTTTGCAGGTGAATGAAATTTCCTGTTTATTATGGAAAACATTCACTTTTGGTGAGGGAGACACAATGGCTGGCCAAGTCCACCCACAGGTCACAAAAAGGATCCCAACACTGAGGCTTGTGTGATGTCACCAAAGGTGTATGAGCACGTGCAACCAGGCACCGCAGCCACCGCTGGTCGCACCCAGTGCCCCTTAGCCCACTAGCCTCCCTTGGCCGAGAGACGTCTCAGCCGGCACCTGGGCTAGGCCCACAGCTGCAGAGGGTGAACTGGCCAGGCGGCCACTGCCACCGTTCAGCCTGGAGCTCCACGGCAGGTAACAAGTACAGGGATGAGTTCACCAGTGCCCCGCCCCCCAGCTGCCCAAGGCAGGAAGCCTTCAGGCTTCGGGACTTACTAGAGGTCAGCCTCAGCGAGAGCGAGTGGGAAGTCATGCTGTCCCTGGTGAATGAGAAAACTGTGCCCCCACACACAGAGGTGGGGACACGGGTCTGCAGCTTCGTCTGCCTCGGGCTGGGGGGGAGTGAGAGCGCTGACGCCACTGACCCACGACGGCCACGGACAGTGTGGTCCGAGGGGCGAGCTGGCAAGAAGGGCAGCCGCCCTTGTGGTGCGAATGGATACCAGGCCGCCTCTGACGGGGAACCGGCTCTGGCTCAGGAAGCGCTCGGCCCTTGGAGATATTGTGAAGTGATAAAATACGCCAGCCACAAAGGACAGACACCTACGGGAGGAACCTAGAGGCAGTCCTCGGGGCAGAGGAGGGGGAAGGGGGGTTAGAGTTTAATGGGTGCAGAGCTTCACTTTGGGAAGATAGAAAAGTGCTGGAGATGGTGCCGGAGATGGTTGCACAACACTGTGAGCACACTTGATGCTGCTGAACTGCGCACTTAAAATGGTTAAATCTTACGTAACGTGCATTTTACTCCTGTCCCCCATCCCGGGGATCTGGGGGAGAGAGGAGAAAGGCGGAGCCCATCAGGCTGAGCGGACAGGGGGCCCTCACCTTGGCTCGGTTCCTGAGCCTCCTCCGTCCCCTTCTGCCTCTCACGGGAGCCTCCTCACGGGGCCGGCCTTCCCAACATGGGCCACACTTCCCTCCCGGCACGGGTGCGGCAGCAGAGCTGTGCTGCCTCCTTGCCCAGCGCCAGCACCCTCCAGACACAGGTAGTTCCAGCAGCCAGGGGGGAAAAGCTGCCTCATACATTCCGAAAGTTTCTCGAACATGAACAATAGAGGGTTTGTCTCCAATCGACTTCTGTTTCCTGCCATTCAGTCTGCGTGGGCCTGGGTGTTTCTTGCCGTAGCTCTCCATCACACACGCTTCCAACCCGTGCCGGGCCCGGGAGGGCGAAGCACAGGTTCAAGAGCTGAGAACCGACCCAGGGGGGCCTGCCGCCGAGGCTCCCGAGCCTAAAGTTTTTCAGAGAAGGACTCGCCCAGCGGAGCACAGCAGCAGTGGGGAAGGGGCCTCCCACGCCTTCGTGTTAGCCACGATAAATTAATAAATTAAAATTTGCACTGTACACAAATGCTTATAGCAGCTTTAATCAAAACTGCCCCACACTGGAAATCCACGCACCCTTCAACAGGTGAATGAACGGGTAACAAACGATGGTGCAGCCACCAGATGGGACAGCACAACGACAAGAGACACAAACCACTGACCCCCTCAAGTACATGATGAACCTCACAAGCGCGGGCTGAGTGGAAGCGGGGACAGGCACAACAGGTACATACTAGATGCCTCTGGTGTTCTGGAAAAGGCAAGGCTCCAGGGGCGAGTGTCAGAGGAGTGGGTGGCCTTGGGCCAGCAGTGACTACAAGGGGCTTGAGGAACCTCCTGGGGCAATGGGAAGACTCTTATCTAGGCCACACTGGCAGTTACGTGACTGCTTCAGAGAGCTGACGCCTGGAAAAGGTGAATGTCACTGCATGCAACGTGGACCTCAGTAACTCTGACCTAACAACGTGAAAGGACAGAGGCCAGAGGGGAGGACAGACAGGCTCCGGAATCAGGGCCACATTTGTATCCTGAACCTCCTGACAACCAGTGGTGTGACCCTACCAAGGCCACAATTCCCTCTCTGAGCCTCAGTTTCTTCACTTGTAATGTGAACATGTTACGTTCCTACCTCCACGGCCGCTGTGGGCACTGCGTAAGTGCCTGGCACACTGTAAGTGCTGGGTAAACGTTCGCTAGCACTACTCACAGGATTTGCAGTTGGGACTCGTGAAGTTCAGGCTCTGATGGGTGTGTAGGCAATGATCACTTCTAATGCACAAGGCATGCCTTGTACCCCAAATATAAACTGAACATTTGTAGGCGCTCAGGCCAGCTGCCACCCAGCCGGCCGCCAGGCTGGCAGCCTCAGAACAGGTGCCGAGCACCGCACCGGCTGGTACGACTCCTCCGCGGGCTGAGCGGCCCACGCCTCTCAGCGGAGCCGGCAGCGTTCCCAGGGAAGGGCTACGGCCAAAGGCCCTCCTGCTGAACAGGGTGGGGGGTGGGGGAGGGGGTGATGGTAAGAGGCAAGCTTTTAGGAGGCAGCTGAACGGCCAGCCTGCCTAGCGCCTGGAGAAGGGCCTGGAATCCAAAGGGAAACCCCGCTGAGTCAGTGCTCCCCCCTCCTCCCCAGCTCCTCAAGATGCGAGTTAGGAAAAGGTCCTCCTTGTGAAAGTCTGGGAATTCCCGGATTTTCCAGTGTCTTTATTTTCAATCAGTTGACATTTGTAGAACATCTAATTGTGCACCAGGCACTATGACAAGAGCTTCCCACGTGGAAAGTCCTGTGACCCTAGACAGAACGACAGGCTGCACTGCTGCCCTGTTCCACTGGGGCAGCTCCCAGAGGCTGCAGCAACTCCGGGGGCCCCCAGCCCCGGCCGCCGGAGGGCTGACCGTCCATCATTAGCTGTGCTGTGGGCACTGGAAAGCCACGCAGCACACAGCCCCGGGCCTGCCCCCGGCTTGCAGGCAACCTCACGGAGCATCCCATGGGCTGTTAATCCGGGGTGAAACACAGGCCTGGACAGCTTTTCGGGGAGGGGCACCTCAGGAGGGGGCAGTCAGCAGGAAGGGACACCTCCGGATCAGAGGGCTCCAGCTCTGGGCTGGGGAGGCTGTACTCGTTTATGAGGCAGCAGCCTGGCTCCCAGTCTTGGATGGAGCCAGGGAACCAGGGTCAGTGAGCTGGAGGGCAAGTGAGAACCCAGCTGGCCGCACGGCGACCAGCCGGCCTTGGCCGGGCTCCTGCCACCAGTCCATGGCTGGCCTGAGGGGCACTTCCTGGCGTGGAGGCAGAGACCAAGGGAAAGAAGGAAGATCCCAGCACTGCTGTGCAAAGCGCAGGACCTCAGGTCCACTTGTGATCGCGGGCCGGGAGAGAAGCGCTGTGGGGGAGCTCAGGAGCCTGCACACGAAGGGCCGAGGGGCCCAAGGCCTGTCTGATCCAGGCTCTCAGCGGCTCCTACCCCGCCGAGCACCCTCTCTCAGCTCCGTGCGGTGTGACGACAGCTGCTGGGTTCCAACCCCGGCGCTGACACATGCTAGCCCGTGTGTCATCTTGGGCAACTTAACTTTGCTAAGCCTCTGTTTCCTCTTTTGAAAAGTGGCAGCTTCCTCATAGGTGCAGCTGCTGTGACAACTACATGAAGTGGGTTCATGTGGCAAAAAGCCAGGCACAAGGCTGGCCGGGCTCCGATCTCCTAATCCAAGTCTCAACGACACTTCACTGCTGCCACAACTGAGACACCGAAGTTCCAGCTCAGTTCACAGCCACGGAGCAACAGTGGCGGGGAGTGCACTGGCTGGGCCCCGGCCTCTTGGGCTGGGACTTCCACCCAGGGGGCCTCCCGCTGCTGCTACGGAGGCCCCTGATATAACTGTGCAGGCGGCCGGCAACGCAGAAGCCAGGGGCACCAGCGCAACCAGCCCCAGATGCCCTTTGGAACACCTCTGTCTGTCATACAGGCAGCGCTCAGGAAGGAACGCTGTGTCCGCAGGTCACCTTCCTCCACTGACACAAGAGAATGCTATGTTTTAAATCACTCGGGAGATAAGCACAACAGGAAAGTGCAGCCCGAGACCCCACAGCAATTCTCAGGGGTCTCTCGCGGAGCCTGGGCTGTGTCCTGGCTGCTTCGGGCCTACACAGGTCCCACCTTCTCTTTGCAGACAGTATTTCCTGCACACATTAGGGACCACGGGAAAAGGGGGGAAAGTCTGGGGAGGTGTCCAGGCAGATAGGGTGGGAAATGGAATGGGATGTAATTAATTAGTAACTAACGCACATGCTACCTCCAGAAGGATGTTGTTTCCACGGAGTGAGGGGGGCGGACCACAGGCGCTCATGCTGCTCGCCTGGGACCCATGGTTCCTGCTGGCTCTATCTTTCTGAGAGGGAAACACCTGCTTTCCATGCCAGCAGCAAAGGGAGTAGAGAGGCGGCGGCCGGGCAGCCTGGAACACCCTGCTCTCCTCTGACTTCCCCTGCTGGACAAGGCGACATGCGACCTTTGCAATAACTGACGGGTGGGGCCTCAAGGAGAAATCCACTCCTTTTCCATCCACCCACAGTCCCCAGTCCTGGACCCACACTCTGGACATCTAAGAGGCCCCGCATGATGGCTGTTCTCTTGCTGATAACATTCTGACACCAAACGTATCCCACAGCAAATCCCAGCTTGGTAGCTTTTACGAAAATACTTTAAACCGAGGCCTCTAGGGTTGTGGAGGGAATGAAATGATCCTAGTAAGGTCAGTCTGATCTCCAATCACAGAGATGTGCTTATCTTTAAACCACCCTCTTTTCACACGTCCTTGATGGGGCAGGAGGGCCTTCTGTGGCCCAGGACCCAGAGGAGCCCCACCTTACAGCTGGAGAGGAAACGGTGGGCCACCCGTGAGCCTGGTAGAAGGCTAGGGGAGCCGTCTCCTGCCGGCTCCTGCCTCCACGTATCTGCGTCTACACGGGTGACTCGGGGGCCAGGCTGCCTTCTGGCCCACAGCCCAAGGCGCTCTCTGTGCGACTGGAGGACGCGCTGAAGCGCTGCCCTGGGGAGAAAAGAGGAGGCAGGGCCTGGGCACCTACGGGGTCAAGACAGACACCCCCAACCTCTCAGGTGGCAAAGCTCTAGGGACACTTCTGAGCTGAAGTGCCAAAGACAGCGCGGCGGGGGAACTTCCCAGCACTGGTTCTGAGTTCCCTTTTACGTGACAACAGGGGCCACAGAGCCCTAAATCCTTCCCCTCAAACACTTAACTCCCAGCTCTGAAGGTCATGCTAAGGGTGGCATTCGGGGAAGACAAGCCTCTTTTTGTGAACTCCCGTCCCTTATTGGAAGATGTGTACACACCAACTGACTGCTGGCGCAGGGAACACAGCGCAAAGCCCGGAGGCGGCCCCAGTCAGAGGCGGCCATCCGTTTACTCCTCCAGGTCATCAAACAGACGTCTCTGTCGAGGCTCAAAGAAAGTCCCTCTTAAACAGCTCAACCCTGAAAGGAGGCTGAGAAGTTTCCCTCTGCGGGCCTTTCCCTTTACAGGAACTGGTTCCAATGCTCTCACCTTGCTTTGGCGAATGACAAGGCTTCTGCTCGTCAGGCACTTCCTTAGAACTATGTTGGAATGAAAGAGGTCCCTAAATCTGCTCCCTTGAGCTCCTAGGACATTGTTACCCTCGGGTGGAGAACCTAAAACCTCAGGCTGGCCTGGAGACAGAGCTAGGGCAGGTGCAGTGAGCTCTGATGCAACCCTACAGGCAGGGCCCACGGGAAGGGGGAGAAGCAAGGTCTGTCAGCACCAAGTGCCAGCCCGTCTCTCAGTCGCAGCAGAGACACACTGTACCCCAGACCTCCGGCTGCTGGCCGCCACTGCAAAGCTCATCAATGCTGGGCAGCTCAGAGGGGAAGGGGTGCAGGAAAAACTTGCAAGTTTATGATAAACAAACTGTCCCCTTGTCCTCAACCCCTCTTGAGTTCCTCTCGTTTCAGTTTCACATTCGCGGCTGCAGGCTCCCCTCCTGGGCTGCCGATAGCATCTGCCTGGCTGCCTGCTCCCTGTGTTCCCCTCCCTCCTACAAAAAGGCTTGCGGGGTGGGGGCAGGCAGCAGACACTGAACCCAGTTCAGGCACATCCTGAGCCAGATCTTTAGGAAAGTTTGGCAAAATCACACCAGGGGTTCACACAACTCGAATGGGCCTGGTGCACTAATGCTCAGTCAGCACAAAGGCCTTCCGCCCTGCACAGCGCCCAGGGAAGTAGCTGAGCACCGACACGTAAGCAACCTAAATGCATTTCCACTAGTCCCTGAACACTGAACGAATCCTGCCAGAGGCTCCTCTTGGGGGCTTGCTGAAGTCCCACTGTTTTCTCACAGGCCTGCAGGACTCATTAGGAATATACAGGATGTCGGGAGGCAAGGCTTTTAAACATACACTAAGGCGACGGAGCGATGCTGATGCTGAGCAGTGTCCTGGGACCCCACACCAGCCCGAGGCCCTGCTGCCCTGTCTCGCTCTCCAGCATGCTCGAGGGGTTGTAAGGCGTGGAAGTTACACCTCACTGGTGTCACGTCACGGCTCTTGTAACCCTAGCAGAGGCAGCCAAGGAGGAAAGCGGCTCCTGCTGTCAGGGCTCGGAGCGCCGTGGACACACAAGGCCGGGGGAAACGGGCTCTCGCTTGGGCTGGGGCAGAGCTCGCGGGGCAGCTGAGCCGCATCACGGACCTCAGGCAGAAGTGGCCGGGCCGGCGCAGCCTGTTTACCTCTGCTGATGCGCTGCTTCTCTCCAGACAGGATCCCGGGGGTGTCGATGATGCTTATGCTGTCCAAGACCGGGTTGGGCAGCTGGGCGCACATGAACCTGCACAAGAGCAAAAGCCGGGAAGAGCGAGGTCAAGACCCAGTCATCACTGCTGGAGGTCCCAGCGGTGCTCTCTGTGCACCATGGCCACCCCTGCTTCCTTTCCAAGAGCACAGAACTTAAAGGTTTTCTATCATCTTAGTTTCCAGGGGTGGTCAGCATACTCTACGTAGTCTCTTCACTGATGTCCAACCAGCAGGCTCAAACTGAGCCACATCAGCACATCCTCGTGTTAGCTTTCCCCCAGAAGGCAAGAGTTCAGATTTCAAGTTACTGATGTGTTAATGAGAAATTGCACAAGCCTAGGTCACCATTCAATCCTAGAAGGGAAACAGAAGGGCGACACTGGAATCATGAGATTCCATATTACAATTTTCAACCACTGGCTACATTTCCGCACACGGAAGAGACGGTCCTTTCCTACTGCGGCTGGGTCCAGCCCCACCCCCTCCCACCCAGCTCCTTGGGGGAAGGGACTGCAGTGGGTAGCCATTCTCTGAAAAGTCACAGTCTGCAGAGGGAGAGAGAAGAATGAAGCCATGGAGAGGCTGGCCATTCGTGAGTGAGGGCCTAGCTGCGTGTGCCCAGTTCCCACTGGACTTAGAACAGCCCAGAACAGCAAAAGGCTGTCCCAACTGATAGCAGAGATTTCTGATAGACACAGAAAAGGCTCCTTTAAAAACTTCTCTGGAAAAGGTATTATGCTCAAAGAAAACAGTGACCCAGTGTCTGTAGGACAGCTTAAAGCTGCCTGTCCAGCAAGAGGCAGGAATCGGAGCTGATTAGCTTCCCCTTTCGGCCCCACCCCCCAGGTGACCAGTGGCCCTCAGGCAGGGCAGGGGTGGGGGGGGGAGGTGCTACCTGCAATCACAACAGAGCAAAACCAGCTGACCCACAAGCCGAACAAACCTTGGACCTCGCCCTCCCCAGTGCCAGCAGCAGAGCACGCATGCTGCAAACAAGTGCGTGCCAGACCTGGGGCTCCTGCTAGGGAAGGGAGTCGGTGGAGAGAAGACCAAACTAAAAGGATTTGAAGTAAAATTGGCTCTGGGTAGTCACATACATAAAAATGCCTTGTAAGTAAGCCTGGTGAATAAGTTAACATCTGTCGGACTCAGAAACAATTGTTCTACAAAGCCCAAGAAATGGGGTGGGAAGCACGAAGGGGAGAAGGCGGCGCAGATGCGTCCCACCCCACCTTCTCACCAAGGACGCCCTACAACAGACTGCACTTCGCACGATGAGTGGGCGCCAACCCTTACGCGATGAGTTTTCACAGGGTGATCTCAGGACCCCTGGCGGAGCCATCCGTCAGCCATCTGCTCCAGCTGATTGTGATCTTAGAGCAGCCACTTGGAGGGGAAAGGCCATAAAGTCGAGTTCAGGACTCCATGGGTCTCTTTAAGAACGCTGGGACAGGCTGTGTCAGCCAGAAAAGAGCCCCCTTTGTGTGCCCTGTCTGGCCAGGAGGCACAGGCTGACACAGCTCGGGCCTCTGCTCTGGGGCAAACCCATGCGCCCCATCCTCAGCTCCATAAGGACCCTTTCAGCAGGGCCATCAGCATTTGGGGAACCCTCTGGAGACAAGGCGGTGGTAAGAAAGAAACAAGTGCGGCTGTCGGATCCCGTGGCACCAACGGCATCAAAGCGCCTGTCTGGGACCCTGACCTCCAGAGTTGCCCTTTTCGCCAGGTGGAAGCAGCAGCAACCGGCTGCACAAACAGTCAGCACTGCACCCACTTGCTGGGTGAGCTCAACAAATTTCTTGAACTACTGGCGGGGGGGGGGGGGGGGGGGCGGGGGCGGCGCGGGGGTTCGCCTCGATGTCTAAGATCCTTTCCAGCTCTGAAACCTTAGGTCTGCGAATTCAACAAACAGGCCACATGCCCACTTCTTTCAAAAAAGGTTTGCTATCACAGGTGGAAGTAGGGTCCTAAGGGCAAAGGACACAGGTATAGCTACCCTCCCTTCTAAATTCCCAAAGTTCTGTGTGCAAGTAGACTCAATAATGCTTGGAATCCCCAGCAGAGCAGCCGAACTTTCCACAAGATCACACCGCGCCCACCAGTTCGCAGTCTGAGCCAGCCCCCTATCTATAGGCAGACACAGCACTCCTGAAACACGAGCATCCTTCGCAGAGAGGCTCCAGGCTCAGAGGGCCGCGCCTCTTCAGGAGTCTCACCAAAGGGCTTTACTCAGCTCAGGCCCTGACACACACAATTGCCCTCAGCTATAAAAGAGGAGGACAGGCTCAAAGGTCTGAAAGGGCAAAAGGACAACAGCAGCCTCTCTTCTCTGTTAATGGTCAGCTCTGCGACGGGAAGTAGGCCTGGCCCCAGCTTGGACTGGGGCAAGCTGGTCCGCCCTGAGCAGTCGGACTGTGTCTGGAAGGGATCACACAGGGCGGAGACCTAGCAGGGAAGAGGCAAGGCTCTGACCCAGACCCAGACTTAGAAAGGCATGTTGAGTCATTCCTTGAATGGAGGGTGGCAGAGAGGGCAGATCTGTGAAGTGCCCTGTATGTCCATGGGGTGGGGGGAGGGATTTCAAGAACACTGACTGGGGCCTCCACATTCCTTGAGAGGAAAGTGAGTCGGCTGCCTGCCACACTCCTTAGGAAGTAGGTCAGTGAGTTTCATTCGGAGAGCCCTGAAGGTTAGAATCTTGGAGGACTGATGGATTACTCTCATCATGAGAAGGCAGGTTTCACCCATTTAACTGGGGAAACTGAGGCCCAAGCAGGTTAAGGAACCTCCTAGTGAGTCTACAGAAGGCCTCAGGGTCTGAATCCCATTCCAGGGCTCCCACGGCCACCCCGGAGGCTGCTTCTGGTAACCCCGAAGAGGCACAGACTCTGGGAGAAGCGTTCCCACCCCATCTGCCTGCGGCCCCAAATATCCTCCCTGTTCTCCTACACAAAACCACCGGCCCCAGGGGAGGCACAGCACAGCAGCGAAGGGAATGGCTAAAAGTTTCACCATATTTTTCCACTTAAGAAACAGACCCTTGAGGAAAGAAAACGTGGTTTGAATGGATTAGGTGTGTCCAGTCTGGCAGAAGCTGATGAAGACAAGACTAGCCCCTAGTTCTGAGAGAAGCAGGACTGGGATCTGCCGGGGGTGGGCGGGGGGTGGTAGTTAAACTGATAACCTAGAAAATTCTTGAGGGGTGACCGAAGCCGGGGGAGCCAGTGACGCCCACTCCCACAGCCCCAGATGGGCCTTCTTTGGGAAGCGGCAGGGAACTCTGTACTCTGTCCCAGGGAGTGGTCGCTGAGGGTCTCGCTGGGGCCTTGGAGACAAAGGACGGCGGGGAAGTGGCCGCGGGAGGGTCGGGACCCGAGTGCGGGGCCGGGGCTCCGGCCGTTCGCCCTTGCTCCCTCGGACGAAAGGAGAGTACCTGTTGAGGAAGGCGTTGCCGAAGGCGTTGAGCTTGCGAAAGGGGCGCCGCGGGTCAACGACGAGCGCGTTGCCGGGCACCACGCCCTCCGTGGGGCCGTGCATGACCGCGATGAAAGAGTCGGTGGTGGGCTCGGGCCCGATGCGCATCCCCGGGAAGTCCTGCTCGATCAAGTGCCGGATGAAGGTGGTCTTGCCCGTGCTGTACTGGCCCACGAGCAGCACCATGGGCTTGTTGTCGAAGTCAGCGTCCTCCAGAGCCGGCGAGTGGAACTCGTGGAAGCGGTAGTGCTCCTCCAGAGGCAGCAGCTTCTGCGAGTACAGCTGCCGCAGCCCTTCGGCCACCGTCTGGAAGAGCTCCGGCTCCTTCTTGCGGCGGGCATCCTTGCTGACCCAGCTGAACATGCTGCCGAAGACCGGGCTTGTTGCTGCCGGACAGAGCGGCGGCTGGGAGCTGGGAGAGGGCGGGCAGCCGAGGCGGGGCCCGGCCGGCTGAGGGGCGGAGGGGCGGAGGGGCGGAGGGGCGAAGAGACGGAGAGGCAGAGATGCTGCGGAGTGGCCGGGGAAGGGGGCGGGGAGGGGCCGGCACTGCGCAAGCGCGCGTCACAGGCCGCGCAGCGCCCTCTGCGGAGTGAAGCGCGCGCCTCGACAAGCGCCCTTTATAAGGCAGGTGTCCGCGTTCGGGCGCGCGCGCGCCTCAGGCGGCGCAGGGAACTGGGAGGGGGAGAACGAGTCCGGCCTCCGGACCCCACGCCACGTCTTCCCTTCCCCGCCTCCCATTGGTCTATTCCAAATCTCGCGAGTGCCGCTTGCTCGGCTCCCCGCCCCTGTCCCGGGTGCCTTGGCAATCACTCCGGTTTTGCCTCACTCGTAGTGGGGCGGTTCGCGGAAGTACTGCGGTTGTGAGGGTGGAAAGCGGTAGTCGGGAGCGAGGAAGTCCTGGGTCCTGCGTGCTTTCCAGCATCCGCGAGACGCCCGGTTAAACACCTCAGCTCCCTGACTACGCGCCCCACCCGCGGTCTCCCCTGCCCACCCATCCTTGAGCTGTCCTCTTCCGCCCACGGGTTCAGAATCCCCGGAAGGTTGGGAGGACCCCGGAGGCTGCATATCCATCCGCACTGCCCTTCCTTGCCTCCGCCTCTCTCTTGGCCCTGCTTCCCTGACACTTCCTCTCAACCCCGCATCTTTGTTCCCTTTGGGAGAGGGAGTGGCAAAAAAGAGGTTGTCGAGGAAGCTGAACATCCAAGGCGGGGTGGTGACTAGAGAAAGAAAAATGGGGAGGGAGAGGAGGCCAATGGGGAAAGTCTGACTAGCAACAAGAGGCGAGCTCCCCTTAGGCCAAAGTGGTTGGGGGTTGGGACATGGACACTCGCAGTGGAGGATGTATGTGACGCAGGAAGTGGGGAAGAAGAGACAGCCTCCCTAAAGAGGCTGCATCTGCGGGAGGGTGGGAGGGTGTGAAGAGGAAGTCGAAGCCCTCTGGCCGCAAGAGTTTTTAAGGAAGAGGAAATTCCCTACGTGGGGAGGAGGGGAAATGTGGGGCAACAGTGAAATCTTGTGGGAACTTTGGGGGGAATTAAAAAACCCAAGTACTTCCGCTTTCCTTTTCAGGTCACCGCGTGTTACTATTTTCTTGCTCTGACCTATGCCCACCCCCTTACCAGTTCCTGGCTGTTCTATTAGGCTCATGTCTCTGCCATCATCACTGGCCACACATAGGTCCCCTTGGCTTTCCACGCTGGTGAGAATCTTCAGTGGGTGATGTCAGAGCTTTTGTGATTGTTACGTAACCAGTACCGGGCACCAAAGTGCAGGAGAGGGTCCCGGGAGGCCTTTGGACAGATCGAAAATGTATTTGGGAACTTGGAGACCTCACATCCAACTTTCTGGCTTCTGGGAGACGTGGGGGCCTAGAAGGCTGGGTGCTTGTATCAGGGAAGGAAGCAGGCTGTGAGGCCAAGAGGAGGCAGGAACTCAAATCTGAGAACAAGCAGGATATTAGGGGAGCTGGGTCAAGTGGGAGCCAGAGAGGGCAGGGCGGGAGGTTTGGTCGCCCGCCCCTTAGAGGGTCTGGCAGACCTCAGTGTCTTCTGGGGAATAAGTAATGCCAAATCGATTGTCTTCCCCTCTTTCTCTCTAAGCATTGGAGAGCCCTGCGTGCAATCTTAGATCCCTGATTTACCTCTTTTAGTTGGATTTCATTAGCATTCTTTCCATCAGTCACAGTAAAATGTGAAAAGAAACCATGAGATGCTGGATGGGGGTGTGTGTGGGGTGTGTGTGTGTGTGTGTGTGTGTGTGTGTGTGAGCATTCTCCTCAAAAGAGGGTATTGAGGCCCCTAGACAGGCTGACACCAGAGGGCTGTGTGCCAGCTGGTGACCAGGAGCCCCTGGCAAGCCCAATCCAGACTTCCTGGGCCAGCCTTACAGCCAAAGGACTTGCCTCCTACATGGTATTTTGAGGGGTCCACCCCGGAGATGCAACTTCTGGGCTGTTCCGGGGAAGGGCCCGGGGCTGTGGATCCTGAAAGAGGTGGTTTGTTCAGTGGCCTAAATGCGGTTTTCAGGAGTTGGGTCCCCAGCGGCACTCGCGCTGACCCGCCATGGGTTGCGCTTCTCCCCAGAGCCCTGTGTGCTGGGAAAACCCAGCCCTATAAACAACAAAATGTCCTGGGTTATTTATAAATGAAACCCAGTCCCTGCTGGTTCTGTGTGGCCACTCGACTTTCTCCAAGGAGCTCAAAGGACTAGAAGAGGCGCTCTTTGTCCTTTATGAGGCTCAGATGGGTAGAAATTAGTTTTCCCAGTTTCATGGAGTTGGCATCCAGGTCCCAGGGAAGCTTCCTTACCTAGTACTGCCCCAGACTGGGAAAATGTCCTAACTTTCTTCTAATTTGTTGTTGTTGTTGTTGTTGTTGTTTTGTTTTTTAAAGTAAGGTAGATTCTGTTTGATGAGAAAGTTTTGTGAACAGTGAATGAACCATTTTACTTTTGATTTCTCCATTTCACTTTCTGTCTTTGCCCAGGCCCCGGGGAAAAGGTTGGGGAAGGGTTCAGATATTTCCTTTATCTCAGAAATGATGTCTACCTCTCACTCCCGCTGTTTTTTCTTCTTTCAAATTTGTAAACACACACCTGCCACACTCAGCCTCCTCAGAGACTGTGCTCAGCCAGCGGAAAGGGCCCGCCGCTCTCCCTCAGAGCGGTTTGCTCAGTCCCTTGATCTCCTGGTCTAGAGAAGCATCTACAAGGCCCCTAAAAGCAACTTTTTAAAAAACGGAGTTTTCCTCCAAATATGGCAGAAGAATCAGTCTGAGAAAAGCCAAAAACAGATAGGTTTGCCCCCGGGGTGAGGAGAGTGGTTCATTCTTTCCACTGAGAAAGTCTGCATATCAGCACAGCTTTTTGTCACGCAGTCACAAGCAATAGATTTGGCGAACAGATCAGTTTTGCCAAAACAAGGTAGAGAGCTGGAGACGCCTGTGCCTCCGCAGTCCAGGGTCTCCAGCGCTGGCCGGAGGGGCCACGACAGCCCACGAAGCCTCTCTCCTCAGGAGGCGCCGCAGCGGGCTCGGCCCCGGAGCTAGGGCCGTGGGAGGTGTGCTGGGCTCCACAGACCTCTGAGGGGTCCAGCAGCGAGGACACAGTCTGGTCCAGCTTGGAGGTGACAGAGTGTCAGGGCTGCTCAGGAACTCTGCTTCCAAATTTTGGTAAGAAGCCCGAGGCCCTGGGACACTGAGTCACCAGGCCGAATGAGGAGCTGGGCACGTGGAATGCTAACAACGAGCTCTTTCCAGGCTCAGACCGTTTGAAGTCGCAAGGCTGGCCTGGGGGCCGAGCGGAAGAAGAGGGTTTCCAGAGCCTCTTTCTTTTTCAGGTGCAGGCTGGCTGGGTGCCAGCAGCAGTCCTGCCCTGCGGCCTGGGTGCCCAGCCCACGAGTCACCAGGATGCTCTGTGCTCGTAATGGCCGAGGTGACTTCCTGAGCTACAGAAGCCTCCACATGCTTTTTATAAGAACTATATGCTCAGCCCTGGCTGGTGCAGCTCAGTGGACTGAGCGCCAGCCTGTGAACCAAAGGGTCACTGGTTCGATGCCATCAGGGAACATGCCCGAGTTGGGGGGGTGTGAGAGGCAATTGATCGATCGGTGTATCTCTCACACATTGATGTTTCTCTCCCTCGCATTCTCCCTCCTTCCCCTCTATCTAAAAAAGTAAATAAATAAAATCTTAAACCCCAATATGCTGGGTTGGGGATGCCACCCACTGCTGAGCTTCCAGACTCACGTGTCTACCCTCTAGCCTCTGGCCCCGCCTGGCAGGGGCTGCAGCTGGGGGCCGCGTGCAGTGTTTACCCCAAACTCCCTGCAGAACGCGGGCCCCGCTCTAGCCCTGCCCTCCTCCATTGCTGGACACCTTGCACTGGGAAGCAATTTATCACTTGGCACACGAGAACCCTGCCTTCTACAGTGATACCACTAGGGATCCCTTGGCAGGGTCTTGGGGGTCCCATTACTCTACACTGATGGAAGTGGTGGCTGTAGCCCCGTCGCCTGATCTCAGCAGCCTGAGAGCACACTCGAGGGGCGTGGGTGTTGGCACCTGGGAGACTGGCCTCAGCCTGCTTGTGTGAGCAGTCACTTGCCCGCCTCGCCTCCTCTCCCTCACCATGCCCTCTACCGTCTACTCCCCTGTGGCTGGAAAACAGCCTGAGCCTCATAGGCTGGGGGCTAGATAGTCATTCTCTCCCCAGCCGTGTGTCACACAAAGCCACCAGGGCACAGATCCCAGCTCATCTTTAATGAGCCCATCCTCTGGCCTCTGGCCCAGCCCCTCACATCCACACCTCAATGGAGGGTCAGACATTGTACCCAAAGCCACCGTCCAGTCCCCTCCACTGACCTAACACCTCTTTCCTTCTCCCAAATCAGTCTCCACGCAGGCCACTCCAAGCTGGGTGGTCTAGGCAACTGTCCTGGCCAGTCAGTCACTTCCTGTCGGCCTGGCTGGAACATCCCTATGATCTTTGTCTCCTCCATCCTGCCCTTAAGGACAGGCCACGGGAGTGGGTCATCTGAAAAGGGACTGGAAGCTGAGGAGATGAGGGGGCACTGTCTGCCCAAGCTCCGTGTTTGCTCCCAGGAGTACGCGTGAGGGGCAGGAAGGGGTGGGAAGGGAGCGGGAGCCTCATCAGAGCTAGGGTCAAAGCTCCATCTCCTGCTCGTCAGCCTGGCCTCCTGCCCCTTGGTTCTAAAAGCTCCCCTGAAACCCCTCTCTTGCCCTTTGGTAATTGTTGGCAGGCAGAATTCTAAGATGTCCCCAGGGTCCCCTGCCCTGGTGTACACACCCGGTATAATGCCTGGGACCCTGTGACAGGTCATGTTCAACGGCGCATGAAGTCTAAAGTTGACTTCAGATCAAGGATTATCTGAGTGGCCTGACCTCGTCACATGACCTCTAAAAGCAGAGTTTATTCCGGCTGGTGGCAGAGGAAGGAAGTTGAGATGCAAAGAAGGGGAAAGACTCAATATGCAGGTATTGACTTGAAGATGGAGGGGCCTATGA